CTCCTGCCTGGTCTTCCTCCCTAAATGCCACACAACGTAAACACCTAGAAAAGTGCAAAAGAGGGCATGCAAGATTATTCTCTCCCCTTCCTACTCCACATAACAAGAAGCGCTCAACGCACTGACCCTCTTGGCTCTCTTTGACCATCACCACGACCTCATCTGCAAATTTGGTGAGAAGCTTCTGCACCATCCTCGACACCGGCTCCTACTACCACCCGAGACCCCCCTTTCACTAATTGCTGTTCGACACCACAACAGCATCCAGCCCATACGAGCACGTACTGATCGCTATAAGAACAGCCCAGTCCCAACCATTGTAAAAATTATCAATAACTCGTAATCAACCAGTAATGGTGACAATTAATCCTTTAAAAAATACAATTCCCTTAGAGAAGAAAACATCCCAGTGAGGGTAAGAAGATCCTCTAAAAGATGGTAAATAAATATGTGTCTCAGATAACTTGGTCAGGAGGTCTTGGGGCAGTGAGGAGTGTTACAAGACCAGAATATCTTATGAGGGAGAGAGTGTAGGGGAGGAGAAGACGGTGGATGGAGGGAGAGAGTGTAGGGGAGGAGAAGACGGTGGATGGAGGGAGAGAGTAGAGGTGGGTGGAGGGTGGGATGATGTGAAAGTGGGCGGAGGATAAGGAGAGAGGAGGGAGATAAGAGTTGGAGGAGGGGAGGAAAATATTGCTGTGTCACTATAAGGAAGGGAGGAGAGAGAGAGAGAGAGAGAGAGAGAGAGAGACACACACACACACGAAGAGAGATCAAAAGTTGTGTTTGTTTTCAGTAAGTTAAGGTAAACTGTTGTGTGATGGAGGGACGGGGTGTTTGTCTTGGGCCAGTCGGTGTTTGAGAGCCACACACACACACACACACTCGCTGTTTTGTGGCATATTTATTACCTCTCCTGACATAATAATAATAATAATAATAATAATAATAATAATAACAATAATAATAACAATAATAATAATAATAACACTAATAACAATAACAATAATAATAATAATAATAATAATAATAATAATAATAATAATAATAATAATAATAATAACAATAACAATAATAATAATAATAATGATAATAATAATAATAATAATAATAATAACAATAATAACAATAATAATAACAATAATAACAATAATAATAACAATAATAATAACAATAATAATAACACTAATAACAATAATAACAATAATATTAATAATACCATCAGTCCATTTCAGACGCCATTTCTACACAACTCTACGGTACCATCAAGCCACATTTCACTATCTATCTGTATCTCTGACATCCAATAAAGTAATAGATATATTCATTGAAATAGACCTCAATCTATCATAATTTTATTTATTGTATATAATAGTCTATTAAAGGTTCTAAATTGTTATATATTAATTAACCAAAGTTGACATGTTTAGGTGACCAGTCGTACTGTGGGGGGTTCTGCTTGGTGATTGGCTGGTCGAGTTCAACCTACACCCTTACTGTCTCGACCAATCAGGAGCCTCCATCTTCTGGTTGGCGGGTTCTGTTTTGTTTCTGGTGACCCAAGTAGCTACTTCTTCCTCCTCCTCCCAACTACTTCCTCTTCTCATCGTCGTTCATCCCCTGCCTCTCCTTCCCCTTCCAACACCTCCCTCCCGACCTCCCCAGAGAGTGTCAGAGGTGTGTTTTCATTACTCATTTCTCTCTCTCTCTCTCTCTCTCTCTCATCACGGCAGGTAATGGCTTATAAATGCGCCGTAGGACAATCATATTTTTCCTCCTGTGTTGTGAAATATATGCTGTTTAATTCTGTGCAATGGAGGTAGTGTAACCAGGAACACACACACACACACACACACACACACACACACACACACACACACACACACACACACACACACACACACACACACACACACACACACACACACACACACACACACACACACCGAAGGTCATTGCTGGAGGAGCCCTTCCGAGCAGCCAGGTCAACTGTTAAGTTGGCCCATATCAACTCCCTCCCCTGAACCCTCCTCCCCACCGGAATATCAACAAGTTCACGCCAGAAGTTACTATTTCATTTAGGAAAGGAATGGAACCAGTGTTAAACAGAGGTGAACAGTGGTGAACAGTGCTTAAGTCAGTGAGAACAACTCAACAGTAACAGTGGTACCCAAGTTGACCTTCACACAGTGAGGTCCCAGGTACCCAGTGATAACGGCGCCGACCCAACAACCAGCGATGTGTTAATCCGTCTACGATAGGAAGGCCTGGGACCACACCTCACTCATAGAACACCGTCTGTGAGGGAACTACTACACCACGTGAGGCCCCTCATAACATCATCTGTGAGGGAATTACTACACCACGTGAGGCCCCTCATAACACCATCTGTGAGGGAATTACTACACTACGTGAGGCCCCTCATAACATCATCTGTGAGGGAATTACTACACCACGTGAGGCCCCTCATAACACCATCTGTGAGGGAATTACTACACCACGTGAGGCCCCTCATAACACCATCTGTGAGGGAATTACTACACCACGTGAGGCCCCGCATAACACCATCAGTGAGGGAATTGCTACACCACGTGAGGCCCCTCATAACACCATCTGTGAGGGAATTACTACACCACGTGAGGCCCCTCATAACACCATCTGTGAGGGAACTACTACACCACGTGAGGTCCCTCCTAACACCATCTGGGAGGGAGTTACTACACTACATGTTTGCTGTTCAACACCTACATTAATCTGTATGTTCACTGTGTGTTCCTTCACCTTTCTCTAATGAAGGCTTTTGTTAAACCACCAATGTATGTAATAAGTCATTTATGTCCAATGTATATTTTCAGCCTTCGGTCTGCAGAACTTTTCAATAAACCGTTAATTACATATATTACACACACACACACACACACACACACACACACACACACACACACACACACACACACACACACACACACACACACACACACACACACACACACACACACACACACACACACACACACACGCACACTTCTTCCCTTACCTGTGTTCATTCCTTTTATCAATTTTTCTTTTCAATTATTATCGTTTCTCTTACTTATAAAAAGATGAAATAGGGAATAGAGAAACGGAAATGATTTAAGTGTAAAGTTTAGAAAGTAAAATGTAAGTATTTAGACAAGGTGAAATATGTACACGTTTATATCATTAACTTACATACAGAACATAAGTTAAGTTGTTATGTTAACGCAAAATTCGCTAACTTATGCTTAAAGTCATCAGGTTAGCGCTAAATTCGCTAACTTATCATACAACAGGTCACGAGATTAGCACTAAACTAGCTAACTTATTATAGATTAAGTTCTCATGTTAATACTAATGTCGCTAACTTCGGTCAACAGCTTGCAGTTAAACTCGCTAACATATCATAGATTAAGTTTTCATATTAACACTAAACTCGCTAACATATCATAGATTAAGTTTTCATATTAACGCTAAACTCGCTATCTTAAGCCAACAGGTTCGCATTACACTTACTAACAGATCATACACTCAAAACTCGCTAACTGATGATACACGTTCAGTCACTCGTTCGCTTAACTCGCTAAACTCGCCAGTGACAGAGATCGTCAAAGATGGATTCTCAAAGTTTTCGTAAGTTAAAAATTTATCCTCGTAATTGGAGAGGTAATAAGACTCTTAGACTCCGCTGAGACTCTACCTTAACGAGATAATATTACTGTAGACTCTCTTTCTCCCGGAGACTGAGAGACACCTTTGAGAATTACGTTCTTAACTCCGGCTGCCGTAGTGAGTTAATGTTAATTAAATGTAAAATGTAGCGCCGTAACTCACACCACACACACACACACACACACACACACACACACACACACACACACACACCCACACACACACACACCCACACACACACACACCCACACACACACCCACCTTTATATAATGTGTTAAGTGGAAAGGCTGAACTAGTGTTATCGTTGTGTTTATTGAGCATTATACGATGTTGTTGTTGTGGTGGTGGTGGTGGTGGTGGTGGTGGTTGTTGTGGTGGTGGTGGTTATTTTGCACCATACTGCATTATTATTATTATTATTATTATTATTATTATTATTATTATTATTATTATTATTATTATTATTATTATTATTATTATTATTATTATTATTATTATTATTATTATTATTATTATTATTATTATTATTATTATTATTGTTATTATTATTATTATTATTATTATTATTATTATTAGCCTCAACACTACTATCCTAACCTCCACTATCCTCAATCTATTAACACCCGCGTTACCTATCCTAACTCCCCCCCCCCATCCTCCCTCTCTCCCTCCCTCCTCCACAAGTGAAGTAGAGGGTTAGTATAGGTGACCTCAGTTGACCTTGAATGACCTGATTATTGAGGCACGTATCTCTTGGTACTGTTGACCCCTCCACCCCTCACCCCACCCACCTCCCACCTCTCAGTGTATCTCGTGGGGGGGGGGGATTAAAGATAATATGGCCTTTCAGTTCCTTTAAATATTGATTTACTCTTGTACACTATAAGCTATCTATTTATCTGTCTGTCTATCTATCTGTCTGTCTGTCTGTCTGTCTGTCTGTCTGTCTGTCTGTCTGTCTGTCTGTCTGTCTGTCTATCTATCTATTTATCTGTCTGTCTGTCTATCTGTCTATCTATCTCTCTATCTGTCTGTCTATCTATCTATCTATCTGTCTATCTGTCTGTCTGTCTGTCTGTCTGTCTGTCTGTCTGTCTGTCTATCTATGCTTGTATCTGTCTGTCTATTTGTCTGTTTTTTTTCATAAACGGAATTGGCATGAAAAAAGTTCCAGTTATACTAGAACAATAATGAACAGATCCAAGTGTTCATTATGTTCAAAAAGGACATATGAATAACATTGACTTGATATGAACAACTAACTTTCGACTTTCTTCACTTAATAACCCCCCCTCCTTTCTCTTGTTCACAGGTTATTCGAGAACAATTCAGAACTACTGGCGTTGTTCACTAAGTTCAAGCAGCTGAGGACGAGGGATGAACAAGCCGAGTCTCTGGAGTTAGCTGAACATGCCACCATCGTTATGAACTCTTTAGATGAAGGAATCAAAGCTATGGATAATGTAGATTTTTTTTTTGACCTGTTGCACCAAATAGGAGCCTCACACCGGAAAATACCCGGCTTTCAGAAGGAATATTTTTGGGTAAGTTATCCGGTTTTTTTGGGGATTTAGAGTTTTATAATTATCCGATTTTGTTATAATTATTCGGCTTTCGGGGTTAAGATAGTGTTATACAGATTCGGCTTTCAGAAGTATTATTTCTCACATAAGATATCCGGCTTTAGGGGATAAGAGTGTTATAATTCTCCGGCTTTATGACTTAAGATAGTGTTATACAGACCCGGCTTTCAGAAGTATTGTGGGGTAAAGTAACCGGCTTTAATTAGTAAGATAGTTATAATTACCCGGCTTTAAGGAGTAAAATAGTTATAATTATCCGGCTTTATGGCTTAAGATAGTGTTATACAGACCCGGCTTTCTCGGCTTTAAGAAATAGTCATCCATCACCGTGTCAGTACCACAGGCTCTCTACTCCGCTTTGTGAGGAACTTTATAATGCGAGGCAATTTGGGCGAATAAGAGGGCTACAAATTGGGGGAGAGAGAGAGAGAGAGAGAGAGAGAGAGAGAGAGAGAGAGAGAGAGAGAGAGAGAGAGAGAGAGAGAGAGAGAGACCTAATTCAACTTAACCTTTGCAGAATCTAAACCACTCTATGTACCACACACACACACCACAAACTACTTCTACTACTACTACTACTACTACTACTACTACTACTACTACTCGGAATCAAGTATGACGATCATCCAGCTATGATACAATGATATGAGTTATTAGGGATGTCACCTTCGTTGGTGAGTTTTGAGGTGACTAAAGAGGCCGATACGGGACCGGCAGTGTAGATCACAGATGTTGCACATGTGGTGGGCTACTTCTAGTGCGGGAGGGAGGCAACGTCTTTCCGACGTTGGTGCTTGTCTGCCTCGGTATGCAGTTGGGCTAACTCGAAACTATTGACCTTTGGGATTACACTTGCCTAGTCCATTTCTCCCTATGGTTCCTTGCCAAATGTCAGCATCTCTGCCAACTCTGGCAGAGTCACCTAGGAGCACAACCTTATCTTCTCTGGGGATAAAGGTTAGCACTCTGTCAAGGTCAGTGTAAAAGGCCTCCTTGATGTCATCCTCTACATCCAGTGTTGGGGCGTAGGCATTGATGAAAAAGACATGACGTGAGTGATTCAGTAGGACTCGAAGCGTCATGAGGCGCTCATTGATCCCCACAGGTATTTCAGTTGGCCCATGTTGGGTGCATTGGCAGATCGCAAAGCCAACTCCATAAATGTGGTTTCTCTCCACAGCCGCAGGTTTACCCTTTCAGAAGAAGGTATAGCCAGACCCCCGTTCTGTGAGCAGGCCTTCGTCTGGGAGCCGGGACTCACTAATGGCTTCTTTCAGGATGCTCATTTGTGTCAGTATCCAGAAGGGTCTTGACGTTCCATGCAGCGACCATAAGAGGTTGTATAGTTTTTTTGGGGGGGTCTGTGATTATGATTGTGTTTTCGACCGCATAAGGATAACCTTACTGGATGCGATTGCCCAGTCAGGTTGGTTCTTTAGGCAGGCTATGTTTAGGGCACCTTTTCTAGCCCCCTCCCCATGTGGGGTGAGCAGAGTGGCACCTCGAAAGGGCTGATCAGTCGCACAGACAGTACAGGATTGCACTGCTACCTAGATCCTAGTGCATAAACAACCATCTTATCTTTGCCTCTTATGTGCAGAGTTGTGACTAGGGATTTCCGGCAGTCATCTCTGCCTGTCCTCGTCGCCACTCGTCCGTCGCCATAGGGCTTTTGGGGTGTATAGGGGTTTGATGGTGATGAGAGGTAGATGAGCTGGATGATGGCTGTATGTGAGTTGATCTATGTGGTGAGGCAGGAGCGCAGGCAGCAACCACACATCTTGGCTATCCCTTTTCCTGATCCAGTGGTGCAAGTGTTGCAATGATTCGGGAGAGGGAGAGTTGCAATGGACTGCCGATAGCCCAGTTTGTTGGGTTTCGCCTTAATAGCCTGTCCATCACGCATTACCTTCGTCAGCCGGTGTAGTCGTTGGGTTTCCATGTTGGTCACCTCTTCTGCCTATATCACCGTTGGGGTCTTGCTGAAACTTTGTAAGCATGTCTGCCTGATGCGGGGCTCCACCACAGATTTTTCTTTCGGGGTTTACTCCCGTAGCCTGAGACCTACCATGGTTAATCCGCGAGGCAGCGGGGCAATGGTTAGTAGGCGCCAGGACGTGTTCACGTGCCAGTGGGCCTATGCACTGTTCCTCTGGGGCCCACTGCTGCTCCTAGATCCCCTGCTGCTATAACCTGGGCCCACGAGGCACCCAGTTACCGTGTGTTGCCATGAGGAGGCACAGCAGGAGTCTTGATGGTGAATAGGTTGTGTACTGGCAGGAGAAAACTTATGCAAGCTGCTTCCCTGTTCGCAACGAGGACTAGCCAGCGGCGGTAGCTGAAAGCGAGAGGAAGCAAGCAGTGCTTGCACCTTAACACAAACATAATGCTGCCACACTAAACGCATTACACCACCCTGCGCACACACACACACACACACACACACACACACACACACACACACATCGTTTCCGCTCTGATAATGGCAGTGAACGGACCATTGTTTCCCTCCCCTCTCCTCCCTTCCCTTCCCCCAGGGCCCATGAGAAGGGAGGGAAGTGGCAAGATACTGGGAGGGAAGGGAGGTAGGAGAGACGAGTGAGAGGAAACTTGGAGAGAGGGAACTGGTGTACAGGAGATTGGGAGACGGACATCGAGAAGGGGAGGACGTTTTGTGTGTGTGTGTGTGTGTGTGTGTGTGTGTGTGTGTGTGTGTGTGTGTGTGTACAGAACCTCTCTCAACACCTTCAATAAATTTCAAAATGTTCTATTTACCTTTACATAAGATGGAACCTAACCTAACCTAACCCAACCCAACCCAACCCTTAGCACTCTAAAGCCTTGGTCTTACGCCTGCTTCACCCTTACAGAAGATCGAGCACCCGTTCCTGGAGGCCGTGCGGCTGACGCTTGGTGACCGCTACACCGACAACATGGACAACATCTACAGGATCACCATCAAGTTCCTCATTGAGACGGTGGTGAAGGGCTACGAGATGGCTGAAGAAAAAGAACCCAACGACAACGTGAAGGAGGCCATTAACTCGTCAGGCGGCAACTGTAGTAAAGCCTCCAAGGGCTCCTGAAGAAGGCACAGAAGACGATCTTGGAGAGGATGAATGAATGTGTAGTTTTTAGTCTTATAGGGAGAAAAAAAAGATGAAGCCACACTGCCACTAGGGCTTGCACCAATTAGTGTGTTTATTTCGTGTTTTGTTTTGTTTATTACGATGTACTGTAGCTGAAGTGTGGTTGATGGGCTCACTGTGTAATGCTGGGGTACACTATGTTGCTTCTGTCTCTCATCTCTACTGAAGAAGTGAGGTACCGTGTCCTCTCATCTCTGGTAAGAACAAGGCAGCTCTTAATACTAGACTCTAGGTTATTATGCCATCGAGAAAACTAAAGTTCCTCAGATTATTCCAATTATTGCAAAAGTTGTTCAGCCTTAACTAACGTGGTGAGGAAATTATGTAAAAAAGAGTTGTTCTTTATGACTATTAAATGTAATAATGGGAGCAATACGAGAGAGAGACATATTTAATAGAAAGATTCATGAACTATTAATTTGGGGGTATTTTTGAAACGAAGAATTTAATAGTTTTTTAAAGACGGTGTTCAAACTTTTATATACCAGATGTCTATAGAGGGTCGCAGGCTTATGACACTCTCGCCCTGGGTTGAGGAATCGCTCTTTCTACTGACGTGAAGATGAGTGGGATTATAATGTGTATTTCATGTTTATTCACGTTATTCATTTCATTGGAGAGGAGGATGGAGAGGTGTGTCGCGGGAGCTTAATGTGGGGGGAAGCTTTCAGTGCCAGAGATAAATTTATAACAGAAACGTAAACTTTGCATTTTGGAGTAAATTTAGATATTTTCTGAAAGGACAGATTGAAGATTTCTTGTACCATTCTCACCTAGCCAAACCTAACCTAACCTAACCTAACCTAATGCTAACCTAACCTAACCTAACCTAACCTAACCTAATGCTAACCTAACCTAACCTAGTGCTAACCTAATGCTAACCTAACCTAACCTAATGCTAACCTAACCTAACCTAGTGCTAACCTAATGCTAACCTAACCTAACCTAACCTAACCTAATGCTAACCTAACCTAACCTAGTGCTAACCTAACCTAACCTTATTGGATGGGTAACAACAGGTGTCACACGTATGGTAATGAACATGTGTACTGTATCTGTGTTGTGAGCCTCAAACAGATGTACCATGCACCTGTTGTACTACTTTTTACAGCCACTGCAAAGGGTGTACCGTTATAGCAGATTGTCAGTGCAGGCAAGAGACGGGTGAACGCTTCGCCAGGCGTACAAATGAACACATTACGACTCACCAATACTGGAGGTTGAAGTCCTGGAAATTAGTTTTGGTGTCTGCCTTTGTTTGTGTATGTATGTATGTATGTATGTATGTATGTATGTATGTATTTGTGTCTGTCTGTATGTATGTATGTATGTATGTATGTATGTATGTATGTATATTAACAAAACCAATAGACCAAAGAAGGTGTAATAATGTGAGAGAAAATGCTGAAATTATAATAAGATAAGGTCAAGGTCAGCACAGGTCAGCACAGGTCACCACAGGTCAGCACAGGTCAAAGACACCTTCACTACCAGCTGGACATTATTATAAAGATCTTTTTATTCCCCATAATATTTTCACCTTCAATATTCCTCTCAACGGAATATATAACAAAATACTAATAATTCCTTCACTTCAGATAAACATAAAATGCTTAACAAAAATACAGACGTTACCTTAACCAGATGCGTTCACCGTGACATTCTTCCATTACAACGACAGATGTTTACGTCAGTCAGCGGGAGGTTGTGTCCGGATAACATTACAACGACAGATGTTTACGTCAGTCAGCGGGAGGTTGTGTCCGGATAACATTACAACGACAGATGTTTAAGTCAGTCAGCGGGAGGTTGTGTCTGGATAACATGACAACGACAGATGTTTACGTCAGTCAGCGGGAGGTTGTGTCCGGATAACATTACAACGACAGATGTTTACGTCAGTCAGCGGGAGGTTGTGTCCGGATAACATTACAACGACAGATGTTTACGTCAGTCAGCGGGAGGTTGTGTCTGGATAACATTACAACGACAGATGTTTACGTCAGTCAGCGGGAGGTTGTGTCCGGATAACATACAACGACAGATACAGTCATTGTGTCGGATAACACAACGACAGATGTTTACGTCAGTCAGCGGGAGGTTGTGTCATAACATTAACGACAGATGTTTAAGTCAGCGGGAGGTTGTGTCCGGATAACATTACAACGACAGATGTTTACGTCAGTCAGCGGGAGGTTGTGTCCGGATAACATTACAACGACAGATGTTTACGTCAGTCAGCGGGAGGTTGTGTCCGGATAACATTACAACGACAGATGTTTAAGTCAGTCAGCGGGAGGTTGTGTCCGGATAACATTACAACGAAAATCCTCTAGATTATAAATATTTAACCTAGAAAAAATTGGACCGGAGCTTGAAGTTGTTATAATAAAACACGAGAGAAAAATAATATGCAACAAGACTCCGTTTATGTTTGGGTAATGGTAGACGATGTTGTAGTGTATTGTGAACACTGTATTACATAAAGGCAACCTAACCCTCCAGGCCACTATGCACCTCCCACTTGGAGAGAGGGGGGGAGAGGCCGGGGGCTGGAGGTCGACCTTCACTTGAGGAGTTTTACACGTGTAATATTAATAAAGGTAGCTACCAGGGAATGCCATTGTAAGTTTAATATCAAACCTGTCCTAAAATGTTGACATTGTGTATTAAAGACCTCCAGATTAAAGTACTGTCATATAAACCTGTTTTAGCTTAAATAATGATGAAAATAAATTAATATACAGTAGAAAGATTTGTCAATACTGTCAAGGTGTATTCAACGTTGTATTGGCATTCTCCATGTAAATATTAGTATAGGATAAGACTACTGTAAGAACAAAACCCATCCTCAAAGATAACTATTAAGGATTCACCTCAGTTTTAGGTGTATTAATGTTAACATTAGTTTGGTATTAGGAATCGCATGCCATTTTCGCTCTTAAAAAAAAAAGTGTTTTATAAATGATTAAGGGAAATATCCAGCACTGGTCAAATGCACCTAGATTGAGCCCGCCCGGAGACGACTAATGAGTGTTTGGTTCCCGACAAAAACAAAAGATAACAAACAAAAAATACAAAATTCCCACAAAAAAATATTACAGAAATGAAAGAGAAACGATGTAGTAGAGTTGTTCTGAACGATTTCAATGAAAATATAGATGATACAAATATAGGAAGGGTAACGTGTATCAAGCAACAAAACAACAGCGTTCCTCCTTCATGTGGTCGAGTATAAGAGATTGGATTTTGTTATTGGTATTAGTACTTATGGATAGAACTCTTAGTATTAAGGTGTTAGTAAAACTCCTCGGTGTTTATTTGTGTTTCTCTGATCAAGTTGTTAACTATGCTTTATGCTTTACCATAAATAAATAAATTAGCTTCATATTAGCCTCTACATGTCTTGCCACCACACGAACGGTCAACCACACAATAAACACCAGATAAATAACACGAAGAATGAATTAAAATTGATCAGAATGTCAAACATCATGTCTATTTCAACACCTGCTTCATTCCTCAAGGTAAAAATTATTAAGAAAAAATACATACCTCCTTCAGATAGCTCGACACGTCCACGGCTTCAGTTAACCACTCGACCATCACAATATATCGTCTCACAGATTGACTATATCACTTTATAATAAATCTTCAAGATAAATTAATGGTGGACTGACGTTAGTTAGGCCTCTGTCTGTGTGTAAAGGAACTGGCTGTATGTTTGGGAAAAAGGAGAAATGTATTAGGTTTTCGAATGTTTATGGCGAAGTGGATGATTTAGTGAGATCAAAGGTTTGTGCGTCTGTTTGTCCGTGTGTGTATCTGCTGGAGGATAAATCCCTGTGTACATGTGTGTGTGTGTGTGTGTGTGTGTGTGTGTGTGTGTGTGTGTGTGTGTGTGTTACATCACCCCTTGCATAGTTAAAAAATGGAAATAAAGGTACATCAGAAAAAATAATATTAGAAAAACACTTACAAATTACCATTCCTTGTTAACTAGTTTGTTAGCCTTAACTACCGTCTGGAAGCCTTTCAATTTGTGTGTTTATTTTAGGCGGAAGTTACAAGCAAGATTAATTAACCTGGGATGGCTGTCCATGGTCTCAAAGCTTCCTATAAATGCATATTCCTCCTAATCGAGTACGTACAGTATTCACATAGAAACATAACTAACAGGTTTACGTCAATTATAGCTTCAAAACTACGCTGAAACTGTACCTATACTTGATGCTTTTAATTGCTACCAGTTCTAGGGACGAGGCAAATGCCTTAGTTAACATCAAAGGTACACGGAGTCCTCCATTGGCTAGATATGTTAACTTAGTTGTTAACCAGTTGGCAAATTAAATGATCCTATTTTCAGAGATTTTTTTTTTTACAGATTTCTTTGTAAAAAATTCTTATATTTAAATTTCAGTGCATTTTTTTACACCATTTAACTAAATTCTGACAGACATATGAAGTGAGTCAGTTATATATGAAGTGAGTCAGTTATATATGAAGTGAGTCAGTTATACATATTATGTCATGTCAACGGTTGCAGCCAAAATTTAACTTAGGAACGTTTCAGAATCAGGTCTTGTGTGGTTATGTAAATAGGAAAGGAAATAATTGGTTGCTATTAATAGTATCTGGGGGAGAGCTATTTTTTGTGCAGCGTGGCAGATACTGTGGCAGTCATGAATTCACACCATGGTAATTTAGCTTATCTGTGAGTCCACTAGTACCACTTATTTTCTGTCTGAACTGTATATTACAACTGGTATATGATGGAGGACTGACAGTGTCTAGTAGATTCGCTAATCGCTGACCCATAAAAGATAAAACAATCTTGGTGTACAGTACGAGTGAAAATTGTAATTAGTGATAAAAATAAAACAAAATTTATCTTTCACTGAATATTAAACCAATTAATCGGACGCCATATACCTACATTATGTATATTTATGCTAAACTAATTTTACCCGAATATATGGCCGTGGTATTATGATTCATGTTAATGTCAAAGAACAATTACTACGAGACTATTTATATTTCAGGCGACAAGAACTAATAATTTTTCATATCATAAAAAAATACTATGTAACTATCTGGGAGTCATTAATTAGAGTAAATTGTTTTGTTGGTTGTTATATTAAAAAAAGTAATAATATTTAGTGTTCGTGGTATTGTTTTAACATCAAGTCACACACACTGGTGACATTTGACAAGTTGTGGTCTTGTGGGTGTGTTCCTTTAAGTGAGAACTGTGAGATAGATGTCTACAGTATTCAGGTAAGGCCGCAACACACGTTTACAGTTTATTCAGGATGTGTATTTAATAATGTGAAGGTGTTTAGAGGTATGGCTGAAGTATGATGTCTATGATACATTGAGTAGCGTATGTCTGTATGTAATGTTTTTTTCTTCACAAACGAGTGGTTTATTTACACCACTTGCCTCCTGTCTACCAGCAGTGATTGTTGGTAAGAATAATATTAACGAGAGTGGCTTGGCCGTAGTTGTTACCTTATTTACCCACATTTATATTAAAAAAATATTTTCTGCTGTGGAAAATTAACGATATAAACATAGTAATATTTAACACACACAAAATTCCCTTTTATTTTTTAGTGGAATCCCTTTATAATTCGTTTGTTTAAAACATAGAATTCAAAGAAAACCCAAAGGAAATTCATCATAATAATAATAATAATAGAATTTCTCTAATATTAAATTCTATAACAAGTGTTGCGTCTTCAGAGTGTCAGAGTGAGAGCCTTTACTGACGGCTGACAACACTAACCAAACAAACTTAACCAAACCAACAGGACAAGAAAAAAAAA